GAATAGGCCCGGGTAAGCGCAAAATCTCAAAATCGACTTTTTGTCTAAACACTGCTCGTGAGTCAATCAAAAATTCTTCTTTGAATGAACAAGGCTGTAAATGAGCCTGTGACCGGCGTCAACCAACCTAGCTAACTATGCGTGGACAAATCATGCATGATGTTCATAAATAATCGGCTATTATTTCTGAATAGATTCCTTCTTGCTTGCTTACCTTGACTATCCCTTCTGTAGCTTCAGAACAAGCTTGCTTATCATTTAGAAGCTCATCGTGCGGTGACGGTGGGCTGCTTGTAACCGAATCGTGATTCATTCGCAAGATGCTCTCTTGTTCGCAGTTGCAGTACTCTTTAGCCAACTGAAACCTAACAACCATCTATATGTACAGCCGTTTGGAAAGTGCAACTCTTCTGAACTCACCTCCGAGAAAAGAGTGACATCCGGCTGAGACCGGTAGATGCGACCCAAAGGAGTGATAAGCAGCAAGACAGAAGACTTGTTGAGTAAATGCCAAAACTGGGATGTCATCAGCTCCGTGTTTCTATCTGTAAAAGCAATAACTGAGGGATTGCAGCAGCAGCGTTTACCTATCACAAGTAACACCTTATATCACATCAAAAAGAACGTAAATATCAAGGTTACATCACCAACTGAAGTGAATCCATCTGACAGGCGCTACCTCTGCACGCTTCTCGCGAACCCATTCCGCTACATTTTCAGCTGTCTTCGTCTTTGTGAAAGACCACGAATATACATGACCTAAACAAAAAAGGTTGAAACGAAATCGAGTAACGACTGATGACAGTAGGATACGAGCAAGAGATGGAATACCTTCAGAAATGTACAACTGTATGTCACCCTCAAATCGCATGCCCAATTGATGAGCTAATTCGTTGCGCGTGACGACTACGAAACATGTAGAATCGTCTTCTAGAATAAGACAGACAGTTCAGTGTTGCAAATCAACATAAAAAGAGAAATTACCAGGTGTGCCTGTCATCAACATCATACCGGCTGCCGCGAATACACGATACCCCTCAGGTGTATGCATATCCTGAAAGACATGCAAGTTACAAATACCAATGCGGAGACTATAACAAGCTCTATAAGCTCGAAACTTCACGCACAACATAAAAAAACGAAGACAAAATCTCAAAAGACTGTCATTTACCTTGAAAGGGAAGTAACCGACGACGACTGTTTGATAGCCCTTCTTCAAAGTTTCAAACTCCACCATTCTATCTACGCGTCTCAAGGGATTCCTCACATTCACAATCCACCTGAAATATAGCAAACTTGCTGAGATTGCTCAGATGGATAAGTGATGTGCCTGCTACATTCGGCAAGATTACAAGACATTGCGAGCCCCCTCCCCTCCTTTGTTTGTTGCAAAGTCAAGGTTCAGCACTCAAGGCTCA